ATTTTCTCTGAAACAGCAATTATTCTCTCTAGTTTTGAATCTCCTAATGATCTGCAACTCCTTAATGTATTTTGTTGACTCTTTTATTATTGCCTTTCTTATACAAAATATGTGATACTACTAAAAGTTTGAAGAAAACACACAAAGATATTAAGGCGTGACAAAAAGGATTAACTGTACTCTCTAATATTATGAGTAAAATATGGAAGGGATACAAATTTTCATATACCTAAATGTTTCCAGCTATGGAAAAGCAATTAACCAGATTAATTCATCTACAGTGAGTTACCATGGGTCTATGTGTGCTCCTATTTAAAATAGGCAAAGGAGAATTATTGGGGGAAGAACAGTTTTACTGGCTCACAATTTATAGAATGGCCAGTATAGATCAAATGCATCCAGTGATTTGGTGCAGTACTCTAGCTGCTTGAAAATGAGTTGGGCCTCTAGATCATCAGAAACCAAAGATACAATTTTCCACCTAAAAAGGGGATGGAGCCTGCTCCGGTAGACTGGATTAGATATGTCTGTCACCTATTTTGTGGCTGTGGATCTTAACAGAATCAATCAACTTTCTTGTGATTTATTTCTCCATTTTTGAGGTAAGCCAAGCAGAAACTATTTTTAAAAAAGGGACATAGCAACATAGCCTTATAATCATTTCCTACTATCTATTCCTTGACTTCCCCACCACCCAATAAAGTGAGATAAAAGGAATTTGTAATTACTCATGGGCATATCTTAAGGGATATGGATAGAACTTTTTCTTCTTCCAGTTTCTTAAAGACTGATTTGCTTGGTTATTTTACTACTTATTTGACAAAGACAATGTATGAAATCGATAGTCTGTTGATGTTCTTACCTTCCTGGACAATTCAGAAAATAAAAAACAGTAACCTAAGGAGATCATCCATGGCTTTATTTCTTATGGACTAGGGATAACTTGTGGTCTATAATTATAAATAACTAATAAAATTAATATAATTATCTGATTACAAAAAAAAAAAATCCCCAAACTCTAAAATGCACTTAGTAAACATTTTATGTGGAAGTATAGAATTGAAATCTAGTGGAGACCTTATTTGGTTCTACACATACTGTTATGGACTGAATGTTTGTCTCCTCCAAAAATATGTTGAAATCCTAACCTCCAATGTGATGGTATTAGGAAGTGGGACCTTTGAGAAGTAGTTAGGTTATAATGGTGGAGCTCTCATTAATGAGTTAAGTAACTTTATAAGTCCATGATCTTTAGAAGCAGAATCTTTGGCTTCACATCTTTCCCAGATCTCTTATTGCTAATATGTGATTTGAGAAGGTATTCTATCTTTTAATTATTTTATTTTGTAAAATAAATGGATAAAAATTCACAGTTAAATGAAGTAACTCACAATTTTTAAAATATAATAGTAAGTAAGAGCCACGGAGTTTTTTGAAGGGCAGAATACAGTGGCTCAGGCATTGGTGGCGGCAGGTGCTCTGCTTGATGGAATGACTGGTGTGGGCATCTGATAAGCCAGCAAATCTGAGTATCACTAACAAGTGACAAAACAGAAATGCCGCAGACAAAAAATAGCCACACAACCAAAAATTATAACTATGGAAAATAATGTAGCAGATTTTCCAGTTTTTTTAATAATAGATAACATTTATTGAACACTTCACCATGTGGAATTCTTTAAAATGTTAAATACCTGAAATCAAGTAGTCTTGAGACCCAGGAGCTGTTTTTCAGCTCAGCCATGGCCCACTGCCTGTTGCTTAATTCTTCGCTAATTTAAATTGCCAATTAAGGAAAAATGTGCCTTTAAGTGTGTGTGTCTGTGTGCGTCTGTGTGTGTGTATTCTATAAACACACACACACAAGCGTATATATATATATACGTTTATATATATATATATATACAGTTCTATATGTATACATATATCGATTGTGATCATGTAGCATTGCAGATAACAGAAAACCATAATAGTTTTAGAAAATTTAGAAAACGAGAAAAAGTTATATTCTCATATAACAAGAAATATTAAGTTACATAGTTGCTGATATTATTTTAGCTGCTCATCGAAGCCATCAGGCACCCAGGTTGTTTCTAACTTCTCCAATCTCTTAAGCTGTTGGATTTTTTCCTTGTGCATGTCACTTTGTGGTCAGAATGTGACAGCTCCATCTCAGATAGTCTGGTCTAGTTCAGTGAATAAGAAATACCCTCCTTCTGTGTGAGGTCTCAATGGAAGATTGAAAGGGCAGGTAGGAAAATGAGGAACTAGATCTTATGACTGTTTCACTGTGATCCATGTCCTAGAGCAGACAATGTTTGGGCCTGAAATGAAGTCAGGGTTCTTAATAAAAAAAGAATAGAGGAAAAGAATATGCTAGGTAGGCAAGTAGCAGAAGTCACCATAACAAGGATAAATAAAATTGTCATACTTGAAAGATGTTATGATAAATTATAAAGAATAATAAAGTATTTGTGAAACATGAGACAAGAGAAGTCCTTCCAAAATAATTGTGATCATTTATGTCTTTCATTTTAATTAGTGGAAGAAATTTTTAAATAATTCTCAGAAACTTCAGCAGATAATTCTATGGGTAGAAAAATAGTCACTGAATGAATAGACAGCCTTTTGTTGTTGTTTTCTTAAATAGGCCAACTTTTGAGAGGGCTAATGTAGTATATTTGTAGTCCAAAAAATGGTTTCAACTGAAAATTTATTTTCAGGGACAAGAATCATCCTGGACTACAAAATGTGAGCTTATCCATGTTACATTAGGTGAGTGATTCTAGCTTACTTTAGTGGACAGACTACATCTGTTGTTCTATAGTTAGCATTTTCTCGGGCTGCCAGAAAGCATCTCATCACTTGGCATGTCCCACATATTAGACAGAGAGAAAAAAAGAGAAGAAAGCTGGAGTGCAGTTGCTGAAGGACCTGGACACTTAGAACTCTGAAGAAATGACAGCTGAGAACAGGCAGGCATGATGCTTCCTCTGTGGCTGTAATGAATTAGCAGCAAGTGTAGACAAGATCTGTTGACCAGAAAAGACCAAGGGAGAAAAACGGAATTTCTAATTGTTAAATACTTCAGAGGGATGTCAGGAGGTCCAAGACACGTGGAAATGCAGGACGTTTGGAGGTATAAGTAATAGGTAATTGTTGGTAAGTGTGATAGTAGTTTCAAGTGACTTTCATATCTGACTGTTCTGTTTCTTTGACTAAGGAAATTGTTTTGAATTTGGAAAATTATATGTACAAGCATTCTAGATGGAGTATTTCTGTGTGCTCAACAAGCAGTATGTTTTCCTTTGATGTCATTTGTTTTTTGCTATCATATTATATTGGGTGGAAGAAAAATAGATTGCAATTATTTGCTCAAATATATGAGAAACGGTGTTTGGAGAGTAAGAATTTTGATAGTCAATTCAGTTAAGTATATTATTTTTTATAGCATCTTACTGAGGCTCTGCCAGCAGGTAAGGCAGCAACTGAAACAGTGGATTCAAAAGCTTCAAAAATGTTGCAGTATGTAGCTTGCAAATATATTTACTGTTTGTGTAAGAGTGTTTGTGTTGCATATACGCGCACCCACAGAATGCTATTTTACATGGTCATGGTGGTGCAAATACACTGATGAATTGTAATTTGGGAATTCAAAAGGACTTGAAGAGACTATGATTTATGTGATTATTACAGATTTCCTAGTCTATCTTTAATTTTTTGTCTTGGCTCAGTTACTTAATATGTTTGAAAAGATAACTGTTTCGGGAATTTTTATTTGTATTTTTGTAGGTATTTCGATTTCTTTTAAGTATAAGAATAAGAAAAATCTCAGATAAGTCTTCATAACTTAACATCATTAGGGGCACCTGGGTGGCTCAGTAGGTTAAGCATCCAACTCTTGATATCAGCTCACTTTTTGATCTCAGGATCATGAGTTCAAGCCCCACATTGGGCTCCATGCTGGGCATGGAGCCTACTTAAATAAAAAATAAAATAAAATAATAACTTAGAATGATTATCTTTAAATATGAAATTAGTCTTTGGTAGATCCACATAGTAAGTTTTCTCACCTATAGCCCAGTTTATTTTTCATTAGAATATAATGGCAAATAGGCTTAAAATTATTTCTGTAATAATAACAATAATAATAATAATAAAACAACTATAATAATAAAAGAAAAAATATCTAAATTTTTCCAAACCTTGTCCCAAGTTAAAATTATCTGCACATAGAAAATTACTTTGATTTATTATATAAAGGGAGAAAGTATTAATATTTGTGTAGGGTTTTTTTTTCTTTTAACTTTTCATATCATCCTACTTATCTAAATCCATAGTGACTTTCAATAACTTAAAAATCTTCTCAAACCTTGAAGACATACTAAGTGAAATAAGCCGGTCACTTAAGGGCAAATATTATATGATTCCACTTATATGATATAGCTAGAGTAATCAAATTCATAGAGACAGAAAGTGGAATGATGCCTGCCAAAGGACAATGGAGGTGGGGGGCGGTCTTTTTCAGCCATGCAATGAGATATACTATGACATTTCACTATTAGTTCAGGAGTAACACATGTAGACTTCATTCTAAATGAAAAATAATTTAAAGAATGCATTGTAAAACACTGAGCACGACCTGACAATTATTATCTCGGTAAATATTTTTATTATTATGGAGGTAAATGTTTAAATGGGTTCATGAGGGGCTCCTGGGTGGTGCAGTTGTTTGAACGCCCAACTCTTGCTTTTGGCTCAGGAGGTAATCGCAGGTGGGGGGATTGAGCCCTGACCCCAGGTCCTGTGCTCAGCATGAAGTCTGCTTAAGAATCTCTCTCCCTCTGCCCTTCCCCCACCACTGTGTTTTCTCTCTCTCTCACTCTCTCAAATAAGTAAATAAATCTTTAAATGGCTTCATGACTATATTTACGACAGAATCAAATTACATACTTAAAATATTTTCCAACATCCTTCATTAAGAAACTTTATCATTCTAGGAGGAATTGTTGATAAGGATCTTCGTCACTACCTCAACTTACGATTTCAGAAGGGTTCTGTGGACCACGAACTTCAGCAAATCATTCGTGACAACCTCTACCTCCGCACGGTGCCATGTGAGTACAACAGGCGATGTTGTTGTCTTTCTATGTTAAAAAATAAATATTCAGCTATATCACCATTATTTAAAAGTTAAATTGCATTGATTTTTTATGGTGGACTTTTGGGACAAAATTGATTTAAGATACGGAATTTTTAAATGAAAAAGCTGATAGCTGCTGTTGTGTGGTTTATGATGATGTTCTAGCCAGAAGAGACTTGCTATTTTCAGGCTACAAAACCTGTCTTACTTCTAAATTAGTATTGAGGAATATTAATTCTAGTCCAGGATGTTGATGATTTAGAATGAATCACGACTGGGGTAGAACTCCACACTGGGAGACAGGAGAATGCAAATTAAATCTATTAGCTGAAACAGCTATTTTGTAAATAAAATCTACACAGTAACTCCCAATCTCATCTCTGGTTTGCAGCAGAGGAACCTCACAAGTAAAAAGAAACTTATGCATTGAAAAGTAAAGCTAAATGTTCTATAACTCTTAGAAAGTGATAATATTGAGTGTTGGGTACAAATTTCTTGTATGGAACCTATAGAAGTCCACAAAACAACAATCCCTGATTATGAGCAGGTGGTACTTCAAAAGAGAGGGCTTGGTCAAATGATCAAATTCACACGTCAACTTTTTGGTACCTGTTTCATTTTATTTAATAATCTTCTATTAACTTTAGGACAATTCAAGGACTTTTCAAGTCAGGTCCTAGGTCCTAAGTAGATATCAAAATCCATTTCCTTCACGTTCCATGACCCTCAGAGACTTTACAGTCTCTCCAGAAACTCTGTGGGTGTGTGTGTCTTCCTCTTGTTTTAGTGTTGCTCTGAATTTTAATAAATTCAAAGTTATGGGCTCTGGAAAGTTGGTATTAAAGAAAGAAGAACTTGGCTAGGATAAATAAAACAAACAAGCAAAAAATGTGTATATATATACACACACACACACACACACACACACACATTGCAGGGGGGAGGCTATCGAACTACCAGAACTATGCAAAAGGTATGGATCATGAATGATTATACTGAAGTGTTGAAAACACAGAGAGAAGTCAAATGCAAAGTCAGCCACCAACCTTTTTCACCTACGCACATCTTAGGAGGGGTAGACTTGTGCCATTGTTAACACTGAATGTTCATCAGAATAAAAATGCCAGAGCCTCATTATCACATATTCTTGAATGAGAATGCTTACTAATTCACATCTTGTCAGTCCACACGCCACCTCTGTCCTTTTGTGTTAGGGAAGTGAATAGACTGTTGGGCTCTTGCTTTAAAACTAGAAGTTGAGAAAAGTGCATTCTTAAACTTGTAAGTTTGACATTAGAGTGATGGCCAGAAGAAGATGGATTAAAGTAAGTGACTGAACTATTTATAAGGTAAGGGGTGGACTCATTTTCAAAGCTGTGATGTTGTCAGTGTAACCATGTGCATTTATCTTTTGTGACATAAAAGAAAGGAGATCTGAAATACTGAATAAAGAATCTGGGCACTTTATTATGTTTAAAAGCTAAGGGAAATAGATAAGGGGCTGACATTCAGGAATACTTGTAGTCCTTGCTAAGGCGATGACATAAATAAGAAGTCTTAATTAAATATGAAGTTAATAGGAGTAAATTTTGCATTAGTTAATTAACTTCTTAAATAAGTCATCTCTCTTTAGAGTACCAAAGAAACACCATGAAGGAAAAATAAATATAAGGGTAAAATAACTAGGCTTATAGGAGTAAACATAAAGAGTTTTGTGATAGGATTTCAGTACAAGGTTTTAAATTCAATTAGAAGTCCTTGAATAGCTCCTATAAAGGAGATTATTAGAAATTCAATGAATCTGAATATTATAATCAAACAATTATTCTTTGGATTTGTAGCTACCACTCCTAATAGCCAATTCCAATACTACTACTCACTAAGGATGCTCTTAACTTTGCATAAAAGTGAAGAAACATCTAAGATAGAAATGAGTCTGATTTATATGATCTATAATCACTTGTATGCTGATGAATTGGACCTGGATAATCCACCATCTTCACTCAGTATATCTTTTAATAAAACTTGCAGACGGGCCGCCTGGGTGGCTCAGTCGTTAAGCGTCTGCCTTCGGCTCAGGTCATGATCCCAGGGTCCTGGAATCGAGCCCCGCATCGGGCTCCCTGCTCCGCGGGAAGCCTGCTTCTCCCTCTCCCACTCCCTCTGCTTGTGTTCCCTCTCTTGCTGTGTCTCTCTCTGTCAAATAAATAAATAAAATCTTAAAAAAAAAAAAAACTTGCAGACATATTCAGAGTATGCAACAAAAATGTGTCAGGCGTGTGAAAAATCCTGGCTTTATTTAGAAATTTACATGTGTGTCCAGCATATCTATTGACCTCGAGTATGCAGTGATGTTTGTTACATTTTTTCTTAGGTCAGAAAAATTCTCATTGGTTTTCACGTACCCAGCACCATAAAAGGAAAAGATATTACTCAAGTGCATGTCACTGCTCTTCCAAATGCGTACATTAATATGTATGCCTTTTGTGTAATCTATTAATGCCACCAGGAATAAGTCCTGGATAACTGCATGAAAAAAAAAATGTAGTCAATTTGTAACTATGTAAGGGTGGCTGAGCTGGTTTTACAAGACCCGACTGAGTAATTCTGCGAACTACCACCACATCACTCCACCACCGATAACTATGACTGGGAGGAAAGGAGCAGTCTTGGATCTACATTTCCTTGGTATCTAGTGAATAAGAGAGGGTTTTGGGGTGAGAGCTCCAGAAACACCCTCCCCTCACGCACCCCTGTACACTCAGCCAAATTCAATTGTGGCCATCTTGGCTCCTGTATCCCTCTCTGAAAGGAATCTGGATCCAGCTGCTGGTCAGTTTCCAAGCTAAGTGGGAGAGGGAGATGGTCAGCCCAGGTCTTTACTGGGCCTTAACTACAGATAATATAAAACCCCATCAGTCTGTTCCCTGCCCCATAAACAACAGTTGACTACATTTAGCCTTTTCATTTTGTTTCCCCAGAACCTTATCTCAGAGCCTAATTCTTCAAAAATATATTTTTTGAAGCTATGTCTCTAATCATGGAAGGCAGGACTTGGTCACAGAAATAGGGTTGTTGGGCATGTGGTGAACGTGAGTGTACATGCTCCTGAATATGCACACAGAAGCTTCCATTAGATCAGTTCTTCATTCTTTCAAATTACATCAGGGAGAAAAGATCCTTAGGAATTAACTCTTGGTATTTTCACTAAAACATAAGCCAGTCTCATGATTTATACCCGTTAAAGACCTCAGTTTGGACCTAAATACGTGTCTTTTAATTGCTAGTTGTATGATTTATTGGGAGTGGGGGGTAGAAGTCTTAAGAAGAGCCTGGTGTCCTAAAGTGAAAGTTGATTTTTAAAAAATAAATACTGTAAATAGAATTTTTCTGCTATTAGATTTCAGGTTATATATTTTATATAATAGAACATCAGGAGATATGAGTAAATAATGATGAGACGTAACTGTTACAACCTAGAATGTGATAAAGACTAACTAGGAAAAATGTATACAGATAAAGGACTCAAGAGAGTTCAGGGCGCCTGGGTGGCTCAGTTGGTTAAGCGACTGCCTTCAGCTCAGGTCATGATCCTGGAGTCCCTGGATCGAGTCCCGCATCGGGCTCCCTGCTCGGCAGGGAGTCTGCTTCTCCCTCTGACCCTCCTCCCTCTCATGCCTCTGTCTCTCATTCTCTCTGTCTCAAATAAATAAATAAAATTTAAAAAAAAAAAAAAGAGAGAGAGTTCAGAACATCCATCAAATGGTATTTTCAGTTACCTTAATAGTGCACAAAAGACAATTTCAGAAGCACGAAGTTAGCAGCATCTTTAGAGATTAGACAAGATTGTTTCATTGTAACATATTAAGTATACAAAGTTAAGGCAGCATGTGTTGTTCTTTGGGTAATATAGATTCAAAAGTGTGTAAAAGAATTTAATGGAATTAATACGGAAAAAATGTTGGATTAATTTTCAAGTGTTTAAAAAGTAAAAACAGAGTAACTTGGTTTTAATATTCTACTGAGCATAAAGGCTGCATATAGTTAACTCTTGAGTCTAATCAACCATGGTTAAATTGGCTATGCTTCTTAACAATGAGAAAAAAATAACCACTTTCATTTACTGATGAAATTCTGGTCTTTTCTGTCCTTAATATTTATTAAAGACACAAATTAATTTTCAAGGCAAGTATGAGCACAGATATAAATTTTAGATGCTTTTTCCCATTATACCAGATGCCATGAAGAACTTCAATGACCAATTTTAAAAGTTTCAAAATGAAATGGAAGGTAGTTAAAATTAAACTTCTCTCCCAAGTTCATATTGTCATTTGGTGAGATAGTTTTATTGGGAAATATTTTAAATTTATTTGAAGCCAAAAGAAATACCATCATATACCAAGTAAAAGACAAAAATCAATAAAACCAAAGGTCTAAAACTATTCCATAAAAAGTGAATAAAATGAAAAACAGATTTAAGATATGAAAGAAATTACCTTTATGAAAGAGTTGATTGAAGTGTAACTCACAATGATGTTTCTACAATATTTAAGCACTTTAAGTTAGTATAAACTAAGTCATGTTAAAAAGAAGCAGTATCAAGAATAAAATTGTAAGATTTGTGATATATACATATATATTTTAAATGTTCTGTTATGTTAAATTATCTTTAATGGAGGGGCGCCTGGGTGGCTCAGTCGTTAAGCGTCTGCCTTCAGCTCTGGTCATGATCCCAGGGTCCTGGGATCAAGCCCTGCATTGGGCTCCCTGCTCAGCAGGAAGCCTGCTTCTCCCTCTCCCACTCCCCCTGCTTGTGTTCCCTCTCTCGCTGTCTCTCTCTGTGTCAAATAAATAAATAAAATCTTTTTAAAAAAGCTTTCATGGAGAAGCAAATAGAAGCAGGCTCTTTAAGAGTTATGGGAACGGTTTCCTTTTAAAAACATGCCAAAACGTATAGCTATGCAAAAGGTCAAC